ACAAGGGGTTTCTATACTTTTAAACATCATTTAGAAAACAATGTATATTAAGAAATATTTGCTCCCGGTAATTAAATTTCATTTTTTTTTTCATTCTTTTTTTAATATCATTGACGAAGATGCACATTAAACAAAAAAAAGGAAAAAAAAAATCAGTAAGCTAAATTAATTTTTGTGCCGTCGCAAAACTATTTCTTTGCGTGTTAGTATTTGTTTGTTTATATTTCTATTTTTGGCTCCCGCTGTCATTCGTCAGCGGATGATGTTTAATTATAAATCAACTACATTGTAAACTATATTAATATCTAAGAATAGAACAACAGATGTTTTATATAGAACAACACTGAACTATTCCGCCACACCTGGCCGCTAGTGAACAGTTAATCCCTTAAGCTACAAGCGGGGACAAAATATATGAGACCCCRTAGCCCCTTCATATAATATTGCAAAATCTTATCTATATAGCCCCTTTCTCCCTCCTTTTCAATGTTACGTGGAARMGTGGCCATGATGCATGTCATCAAAGGGCAACACTYAMTAGTGATCTGGGTTAACAMGGTACYTTGTTGCAATAATTGTAATGAATATGTCATTGTTATTTATATCTTTTCGACCACAAGTTGTCTTGTCTTGATTTCTGTCTACCGTTGTAATTCGACTATAGTTAGGACTATCCTTTAAAGCTCGCGGTCATACTCAGAGTCTCTCTAGGATAGTTTTGAAGACTCTACCGAAATTTTCCCCAGATATTTCCTTCCAATGAGCACTACAAATCTATCGGACAAAAATATAGGTCACATTTTTCACAATTCTTTATCATTTTGGTAAAATAAAGGATTATAAGATTAAGAGGTGGTGTTACGAGTTCTACTGACCATAAATCGTACTGTAAGAGAGGGCTAGATTGTCCTACATTCCTACGTGCGCATTGCCCTTTCATTTCAATAAATTTGATAAATGAAAATGTTATGGACCCGCGCCATTGAACCCATCACCATCTTTGCTTTTACCAATAGATGCCATCTGCAACCCAGTAGAATTCAAGTCTCACCAGTACGCAGTCAACAAGGTACTTGTAAATCACGTGATCAGATCCATAACAACCGATGGGGACACAGCTTGCAAGATAACATGTCACCTGAACCCCGATTGCATTTCGTACAATATTGGACCGACCTCATTAGGGCTGTACMTRTGTCAACTGAACAACGCTGATCATCGTCAGTATCCRTTGGATTTCAAAAACAGGGCTGGACATAGCTATAGGAAGATTAAGGTAAAAAAGTGGCTTAAAAAAATTGGAAGATGTCTACCAGGGAATAATCTTCACAATCATAGCTCTCTGCGCCTTTTTGAAAGGTAGCTCTGCAAGATGCCACGCAATGCAATGATAGATACCTAAGAATAATTGTCTGTAGGTGTGGAAGAAGGATTCTACTATTAATTTTGCAAGCTTACCGAATAGTCTCGATTCGATGTGAAGGCACGGTTACTTTTCAAGATGACGTAGTTCAGCATGAAGAAGACTATAAGTTAAAAAGTGAAGGGTCTGTCATTTCGCATGTGCGATTTCGCTAGTACTGTAATTCTGATTTTCTGTAAAAAGGTATCGTTTATTGATCTTTTCATCAGAGCGAATCTTGTGACAGCAACCCTTGCTTTGGTAATGCAACATGCCAGGAGAAGAACCAAGGTGAAAGCTTCACATGTCTGTGCCCAAGGAATTATACTGGCCAGAAGTGCGAGATACTTTTGAGTAAGTATTTGCCTCGAGCTAAAATCTGTAAAATAATATATATATACCAGGCAACCGAAAAACGCCAAGACAATCAAGAAAGCTATATAAAAAAACACTAGTAAACCACTTATTCGAGTCACAAAATTATCAATATTTTTAATTTTCATTTTTAATAGAAAAACACACTTGGGTCCAAGCAAACTCCGCACCAGTGTGCATTGGTACTAAAAATGATACATTTGGTACCTTCAAAGCTCGTTTCACCGGTAAACTGAAAACTATTAAGCTGATCCATCTCTCTGGTGGTGTCGCATGGTCAGGGGGTCCCAACTACGAAGGAAACTGGGGTGACAACTATTCCAAAAAGTTTGAAATTCACGTCACGGATGAAAACAACAACAGAATCGCTCCTCCATCTTACTATCCTTACCGATATACTTTGCCTGGCCAGAACTTCATGAATAAATATCTTGTATTTCCAGATTTTAATCCAGCTCTTGATGTGATACCGGATAAAGTGTTTAGAATTTGGTATAACGAAGACCTTAGAAATTATTCTGAATCCGATAATAGCGGAACAGTTTGTGCTAATATTTATCTGTATTTTATTAAGTACTACTAACATTTACCAACATAAGTCAATCGCATCAATGTTGTTAAGTTGTAAAGACGTCAACAAAGTCTTTTTGGCATATATCATAATTGTATTTTTTGGCAAGAATATTCAACAGAGAGCTCCTTAGACTTCTTTAAAATTTTAATAACATTTAATTCGCTAATTATCTAAAGTTTATAATTGCAATTTTTCCTGGGAATGTTAAAAACCTATTAATACAATTGAATTTGTTGTTGTTTGTAGACAATTTAATGGGATTGACATTATAAGTATATAATTAGCTAAATTGGTTTTCACCGGACAGTGAAACTATAATTAGTAATAATACTTCCTAATAATTATAACAAAAAAGAAAAAAAAAACTACTTCTTCTCCAATGATCCACTTGATTCTATGCATAGTTGTTAGACAGGACAGTCCTCTCTATTAACTATGTTCTATGGTTTTCAAGAACCTTTAGATTCCCATAAATTTAAATGTATATATTCGCAAGATATGATTTAAACAATAAAAAACACATTTTCGTKCGTTTCTGGTGAAATAAACCACTTGGAATATTGGGGAAACACTAAAAAGGCTAAAAATCTCTCGCCGGAGCTTTTCTATATAGCATTTTCGCATTCGTGGTTTTACCGATGAATGGAATAAGCAATAACGTAACATTTCACCAATCASAGAGCGCGTACTATGATAGCTATAATATTAACGAAGAAAAAAATCATCATTTTAAAATAAGTATGGAAATTAACTTTTTTAAATGATTCCATGAATTTCCAAGTTTAAATGAATTGAGTTTTAGGTTTTAGCAAAAAATAAAAATAAAAAAATAAAAAAAAATAAAATAAAAAAAGCAAACAAATTCAAACAAAGAAATAAAAATAAAACAAAATATTTTCCTTATTACTTTAAATTTCACACTGTATTCATGCTAAGTACTGGAATCGAGTGGCAGCTCATCACCTTGAAGTCCGGTAAAACAATTTCTCCTAATGTAAACTTATTAATTTTTAATATCGCAAGCATAAAAGCGCGGTTTTTCTGTTATATACACATATTGTTTATGATCTAGACCTTAAACCATTGATCAACTCATCTTAAGAGAAAGATCGAACATGTTGCAGATCTTAATAGCTTTCTTGATTACGTTGCAAGTTCATTTATCAGGTAAGTTCATCTATTGTGGGAATGATTAATTTTCAGCTTAAGACATCAATGAAGATCAGTTTTGTTTGACAGGATTTGTTGATTACGTAATATATGATATATCACTAGTTGGATTTGACAATAGAGATAGAGGAAACAGTCGATGTCAGCCGTAAATGAAACCCTTAATTGAGATGTACTATGTAAAAAATTATAGCATAACTTATGTAAAAATTTCAAAGTGATAACAGGATTTTGGCTGAAAATTTGCCTTGTTATCTTTGTTATTATAGCTCAAAATTTCGATACTATGGAATTGTGTAAAAGTCATGTAAAGTATAATTTTTACTTAAAATTATTATTATTTTTTCACAATTTGTAATAGTAGTGAGGACGATTATATTTGTTTTTGTGTGAGTTTTTTTTGTTTGCTTTTGTAGGAAAAACTATATTTTGTATTTCAATTGCTTCTACACAAAGTTACAATAATAATATCTCCACAGGATTGAAATCGAAAATGAAGTCATTTTTTTAAGTCTTAAGAAAATATTGTCAAAGTTTTATTTCTCAGAAAAGTATATAAAAAAATGACCGATTTGCTACAAAAACTCATTGATACTAATAATAAACTTAGAAAAATAATATTAAAAGCCACTGATCACACTGAAACCCTATCAATTGCGTTATAAAGCATGTCGCTCCAGGCTTCTGACAAAAAAGTTATACTTATACAGTTGATAATAGGACACATATCCTGACAAAAATGCTCCATCTCTACACTCGACAAAAAAATATAAGCTCACTATATATTTCATTCAATAAGTCTAGGAAAAAGCTGTTGACTCAAATTTTAATAATAATCGAAGTTTTAATTTCCTGTACAAATAAAAAAACTTGCTCAAAGTCGTTATTAATTCATGATGAAAACCAATTCGGAAAGATTTCATTTCAGAGTCTGACATTGATTGCACATTGATGTTCATGTTAGCAAAATCATTTTTTATGATATTTGTTTTATTGGTAGATTTTAGTTCTATGCTAAGACGAAATGTCAGTTTTTAATATTAAATTGGTACTCGTGTCTCTGACTGGGTTATGAGCTCATTGATTGACAACATAGCGGGGTGTGCAATCTACAGACTTGATTGCAAAACCGTAAAAACAAACTACTTGCTCTTCTAGCACGCGAAAAACTCTATGCCTATGTTTTTTAAAAATAATATTATTTTTTGTCATAAAAAGAAAACAAGATAATTACTAACTAAAAGCATTGCAATATCTCATAAACCGTGAAAAGATATTTTCAATTTTGTTTCCAATAGATGCTGACTGTCGAGAGATGCTTTTTTCATCACACGAAGAAACCAATAAAAGTCTCATAAATCACGTGGTAGCAAACATGACGGTGGAGAGTGCTTCCCTTTGTAGAATTCAGTGCTATYGTAACCACGACTGCATCTCATACAACATTGGTCYTTCACATACACAAGGCATGATTCTGTGTCAGCTGAACAGCGCAGATCGACATCAATACCCGCTGGATTTCATCGAGAAGGAGGAGTATACTTATATAGAGGCGAAGGTAACATCCAGATATTTCAATAACCAGGGTGAATAGAAAATTCAAATAATCAAAAATTATATAAAAATTACGCGTCTGAAATCTGTAAATTTCATGGATATATCGTGTTTATAATGTGGTTGAATAAAATTGTGCAATTCGATTGGCTTAAAGAAGTGGTATTTATCCTTAATAGTGGTATTTCAAATTGCGCAACTTTATTCAYTGACAATCATTATATAAACAAATGATAGCATGTTTTGTACGTGGAATTTGGGATAAATACCACTTGTGATATTTAAAAAATGTCACAAATTTCAATCGCTTCGCTCGCAAAAATTTTGTTTGACAATTTTGAAATATGACGCGTGTTATTTTTTCCATATACCACTACAAAACAATAAAAGATAACAATAAAATTTCCTTGCCACTACTACGCAAGTGCGTATATGCGTAAACGCCTCTAMGCGCCTAACTAATTTGATCGACATCATACCATTAGCCAAAATTCTAATTATGCTACGAAAATATTTCGGGATTTGACTATCTTTTTGACCACAATTTACAAGCTGACAACTACTTTTTCAGAATTTCTGCAAGAACGATTCTTGTATMCAGAATGCAACTTGCCAGAGCGGCTTTGGTCCAGAACGATTCCGATGCCTCTGCCCAAAAGGTTTTACAGGATCACATTGCAATACAGGTATTTAAGCACCTGATAGAGCAAACGCAGGAAAACCATGAAATAAAATCAAACTAAATTCCAATAAATAGCGCCTATTAGAGACAAATTGTCAGTATCAATGAACCAGAACACAATAAAGATGAATGAAAAATGGTCCCATGTGGATTCATCTTCATTGTGTTCTGGTGGGGATACTTTGTTGATCAATGGGAAAGTATGACCCAAACATAAATCTGTAATGTGAATGTCTCGTATGACAAATTGTCTCTAAATAGCCGCTATTAGTTAGTATTTAGTTTGATTCTATTTCATGGTTTTCCTGCGTTTGCTCTATGGAAGACAAAATATAATATCTTATCAAAACACCAATGATCATTTTCTTTAACAGAAATAATCCAAAAAGTCCAAGCCAACACTTCTCCAGTTTGCTTTGGAACAAAGAATGATTCATTTGGGCTTTTCAAGTCCCCTATCAAAGGTTCAGTCAAGTCCATCCAAATGGTTCACATTTCAGGAGGAGTTGCTTGGGATGGTGGACCTGATTATGAAGAGAACTGGGGGGATTCTTTTAGCGAACTATTCGAAGTCCATATCACAAACGAGAAGAACGAGAGGATTGCCCCACCGGTTGGCTACTTCATGAATGATACTGAGAGCTTGCGGTACAGCATTCCCGGCGAGAGTTACAATGCAACAAATTTTACCTTTCCCGAATTTTCTCCAAGGCTGACTGTTTATAAAGACCAAGTCTTTAGGGTTTGGTACGGAGAAGACCTTGTTAACTACGACGAAGAAAATAACACGGGAAAAACATGTGCAAATGTTTACATGGAGTATCGACAATCTTAAACATTCACACGAAGCACTTTCCTAAATAGAAACTGTATGCTACCGTCAMTGGTCACCTTTCGGAAAAGGTAGTGGAGATACTCCCTCCGATTTTTCTGACCTCCTCGTCCCTCTTCCGCAAAGGTTCGACAATTGGTTCAGGTCTAAGGGGAGTGTCAACTAGCAACTCGTGCTCATGCCTTGAAATTGACCTAACTTCTGCAAGACATAAATTTAGGGTCAGATTGGATGCAATCAAGTCTAATTGAAAAAAAAAAAAAAAAAAACATGACAGATTTGTGGATTGTCCTCAGCACAAACTTGGGAGACGACAAACTGACACTTGACATCCTATTTACATATATCATGTCACTTGGATGAGATCAGTTTGTGGTGGAAATCTCACCTACTTGGCGGTAACCTCAGCTTTTCTCCATTAGACTGGCTAGGGAGAGGAGCCATAGGCAAGACGGAACAATGGAGGTTACGAAATATTTGGTTTACYACAGATTTGCTCCAGAAAAGAGCATCCATTATGCAGATCAATTATAATAGCCTGTAGTGCTTCAACTTCATCATGTGCCGATGTGGATCAAAATATATACAAAAGAACAACGACAACAACAACAAAAAACATGCAATTATTGTCACAATGCAAAACAATGAAATACACATGCCTTTACTTCATATCATAATACACATATTTATTTTCATAACATGTTAGGTTCTCTATATCGGCAAATATCCCTTGAAAGAAATAGTATAATTTACTACAGATATTGCCCACTTTAGTGCAGTTTATTTCGTATTGTCTAAGATTTATGTACAAACACTATTGATATGATTTTCCGATTTTTGGCTCTGTGCGAGCCATAACATTCTGGGATATATTAGTTCAATATATATGAGCATGCGTTTTAAATACAAGGTACTTAATAGGAGACGGACGATCTATAAAGCAGTTAAAAGTTCCGTAAAGAAACAGAACGTAAGCTTTTCAATTCATAATTATTCTACTTACTTTTCTGCTYCAGTTGACCTTGATCAATTTCTACGCCCTCTCTCTTAAGTCCCAATACCCCTTCAGCCGACTTCACAAAAGAAACTAAAGCAATTCCGTAGGGCGACGGGCTGTGGACTCTCGGACACACCCAACAGCCCGAAAATGGCCGTAATGAATTGATAAGACCAAGAAAATCAAATTCTTGGCACAAGATGTTCACATAMGTTTTGCAATGGATCATGGAAGACCATTTGGATCTCAAATAACGGTTCATCTGGGGTCCCTTTTAGTATCTGATTATAGAAGCCATCCTCCTAACCAGAATGTAGCCTACGGAACTGTGAAGAATGTCTGCTTACATATCTCGATAAATAACTTTGATGTCCATGCATGTTTCACCAACATTATCCATTTCATTTTGCCCACCGATCAAATCCTCCCCAAACCAGATCCGAAATTTGGTGCCACCATTATAGGCATACCTTGGAGTTGATGTGTCTGGCAATCGTATTTCTGCATCATTGTTATACTGGTTATCGATTTTATATGCAGTCATCTTCCTAACCCATTTTTTGTAATCATTAGGAGGTGCAACCCTAGTTCCATTAACAAGTGTCACAAAAATCTGGAATATATCTCTTTTACCAAGATTTGTTCCCCAGTTGTCCTTCGTCGAGTTTGAATTTAAATTGCTAACTCCACCAGATTTATAAATGAGCTTGAAGGTTACAATAACGCCTGTTTGAGGAATTTGGAATTCTCCAAATTGATCATCTTTTGTTCCAACACAAATATTTCTATCGTTGACTAGCACCTCTTTTGTTAATTCTGAAAGCCAACATAAAAAAAAATCAAGAAAGGATTAAGCATTGCACTCGCTGGAAAAAAGTCTGAATTCCTCGTGTAATCCACTTCTAACAATAAACAAAGGAACTTCTATCATTGCGTTCTTAGTATTCAATTATTTCTTGTGCTTTAAGTACGAATTGGAGGAGGAAGGAATCGAAGTTTTTTTTTGCCTTCTTCGTGTGATCTATAGAATTAAGTCGTCCCGTAGGCTGCATTAGAAATGCTTTTTTTGCATAATACGGACCTAAATTAAATGTTTAACCAAATTAGTTCAATACATGGTATAGTGTGTAAGACCTGGCTGCTAGTATGAGCAGTTCATAACAAAATAATCTCAAGTTTTATTTCGAAACATTTTAGCTAAAAACTAGCAAATGATAGCACTCAGAAAAGTGTTGTTTTGAGGTTATGGCAACGCATTTCTTGTTAAAATAACTACTTGAAAATCCGTGTACCTGCATAATAATTATTATAATTATACTTATTATTATAGGTTTGCTTAAATGTCGAATCCTTTCTATATTTTTTAACGTCTAAAACTGATCTTAAGGATTAAATTTTAACGGTGATCAAGATGTTAAATACCTACCTTGGCATGTTAAATTCGGTGGGAAGCTTACAGGGGAGAATCCTGKCTTACATTTGCATTTATAGCTTCCTTGGCTGTTGGCACAGTGAAGCACTCCTTGTGTTGAAGGACAGCCGTGGTTTGCTCCTTTGCACTCGTCTAAATCTACACAACGGCTTTTTATTAAAAACATGGAAACTTTAGCATCGCCTGAGTTTCGAACATGCTTGAAAATTGKCTRMAAATTCGCGGTGATTTTCCATCGCCGTAATAATCGCAGGGTTGCTTAACGTTTACACGTACGATTTTGAGGTGAGCAATAGCAAAATGGCAATTATCGCGTGACAATCGCACTGTAAAAATCGCAAGTGTGTGAACGGGCCTTAAGGATGACTTTCGGGGGTAAC